GTTCAGCTTTCTCCTTAGAATTCCTTCTTTCTCTGTGAATGGAAAGACAGTCTGAAGTGGCAGAGTCCACACAAATTTGCCACAGCATCTGCATCTAAGAACTATTTGTCTGTATTTATAGTCTCTTGCTTTGCTTATAGTTTTCTTTCCATCTTAGTGGTTTTCCACAATAAACCCCATCACCAGCCTTCACATGTCTTGGATCTTCAGAGAAGCTTTGACTTCTTGAGCAGTTTGAATTACTCATGATTCTTGGTTTAGATTATTTTTTCCTTCTTCTACCACCTTTTGTATGAGAAGAAGAAAAGTGTCCTCTTGCACTTTAGAACAAATCATAGGGCCTTTGTAGACTGCCAGAAATAGTGCAAATTGAGTCCACTTTAACTGCTCTGACCCAGTGCTAGGGAATCATGGGAACTGTAGTTTATTGTGGCACCAGAGCTCTCTGACAGAAAAGGCTCAATGTCTCAGAAAAAAATACAATTCCCATGATTCCCTAGCACTGAGTCAGGGCAGTTAAAGTGGACTCAATTTGCACTATTTCTAGCAGTCTGCAAAGGCCCATAGTTTTTCAATGTGTCAGAACACATGGAAGTGTACAGGAAGAGTCAGCTTGGCCACTTCTCAGGGATTCTGGGAGTTGTAATTCAAATCTTTGATTTTCCCCCTTTCTAATCAATGCTAATTAAATCAGAATCAAACTGGTTTTCTTTCCTTGCTGGTTACTTAAGCTAAACCAAACTAATCACCAAACTTTGGATATAATTTGGAATGTGGAGTGTTCTCGAGTAAAAGCAGAAGCTTCTATGTCTTTTGTGCATGCAAAAGAGAAGGAACAGACCAATTCCCAAATGGTTCATAGTTTAGTTCAGTAGGATTCCTATCAAGGATTGCAGATTCACAGGAAAAGTCCATGCAGGAGAATCTCAAGTAGATCCAACAATGGTTAGAACCATGGCCAATAGTAGTGGAAGTCTGTACCATTTCAAAGTTGCATACTGTTCGCTCTGTTCTCTCATTTTCTGGCAGTTCCCTCCTTCCTTGTGCTCCACATTAAATCAGATGAAGGGCCATATGTAGACTGTAGGCCACAGTGTCCCTTTTCCAGGTTATGAGGGATTGTAAGAACTAGATACTCCCATTTTAGAAACTGCAGTGGCTTTTACATACTTCTGTCGATATGGGTGGCTTTGCTATAGGTTTTCAGTGAGAAAGAGCACTCTAAAACTGCTTAAAGGTACCCTCTGTTTTACTTTGCTTTAGAATTCCTTCTTTAAAGAAGCCCCTCAAAGCCTGATTCTGAATATATTTTAGTAAATTATTCCCAGGGAAGAAAAGCTTAAGATTAAATTCCACATAAGCATTAAGTGTAGAGTAGCTTGGCACCATATAGCAATAGTGATGTTTAATGTTGCTCACGACTTAAATTTTTGAATATTTTGCCTTTATCCACCACAAGAGCCTTGTAGGCTAGTAGTCAACATAAAATCTTAGAATGAAAGAAATATGTATACTCCACATGCATTCAGGATGAGCTGCGAAACTGTGGGATTAAGGTCTATAGCATCCTGTCTTAAAAGTAAGTTTATACCACCCATTTTGTCTTGTTTATTATTTATTAGTGGTTTAAATTAGCACTGGGAAAGGGAATGTAATAAACCCCAAACAGGTGGCCATATTAAATGCTAGACAATAATTAAAATTTCACTCTCAGTGGCAGCATATGGTTTAATTGGAGTACTGTGACCCACTCTAGATTACAGTATCTAGTGGTCTCCAAAGAGCTCAGAGTAATTACATTTTTGGCTACCTGTTCCAATCAGTTCCTTTCTATTGAGCTTAAAGAATATCATCCCAAATTGGTTTATAGCAAATTATGCATATTTGATACATAAATTACAACTAAGATTTGGTCTTCCCATAAAAGCAGGGTTCTTTCCTGTCAGGTGGTATGATGTGAGTGCATTCAGTATATTCTCCAATATTTATTGATTTAAAATATTTCTGTATCACCTTCTAGCCCACAAGGGCTTCTGATGTGATGAAGAAATGAAAACCAGTGAAAACAAATACTGCTTAAAAACTCCTAAAAGCAGTTTGAAAACAATCAGAGACTAGTTTTGAAACAGAACAGCAGTTTCAAACACTGAATACCATGTGGAACAGCACTGTCTTGGCTGCCCACCAGAAGCATAAAAGAGATGGGGTCAGCCTAACTTCCTTGGATAGGAAGTTCCAAAGTTGAGGTGCAGTTACAGAGAAAGCCCTATTACATGTACCCACCAACCTAACTTCACAAGGTCTTTGGACACATAATTATAAGAGGGTCCCCTGAAGATCTCAGATTTCTGGTAGGCTCATATGGAAGGAGATGGTCTTTCAGATATGGCCCCAAGTAATTCAGGGCTTTGTAGGTCAACATCAGCACCTTGAATTGAGCTTAGAAGGAAATTGGAAGCCAGTGCAATTCTTGCAGGATTGATGTTATATGTTTCCTAAGATGCACACCTGACATTGGTGTGGCTGATGCATTTTGCACTAGCTCCAGCTTCCAAACACTTTTCAAGGACTGCCTCATGTGGAGCGCATTACAGTAGTCTGATCAGATAATCAGACCAGATAGCAAAGAAAGAAGTCTCTTTACCTGAGAAATGGGGGGAAAGGGGGGGACTACATTATTTGAGGTCAAAAGTTTATGTAAAGCATTGGCTTATCAATTAATGAGCGATAATTGTGTAAATCTATATACATATGTGTAAGGTTAATAAGTAAACTTTAAGAAGTTGTCTTCTCAAAGGGGTGATTCAGAATTCATCTTATCTAGCCTGAGAGGCATGTAAGTCTTTGTTGCATTTCTTAATTCTTAGGAAATGTTTAGTATTAATAAAATAATCAAGGTTGTATACTGAGGTGTATGGGGCAACTATTAAGATTAACAATGACATGCACAGGAACGATATTTGTTTTTTGAATGAAGTAGCTGCAAGGTCAAGATTAAGTGTAGTGTTGTGGTTTAAGTTTTGGGCCAGGGCTGCTGCCACACTGAAGAATTAATGCAGTTTGACACTGTTTTAACTGTCATGGGTCCATCTTACGGAATCCTGGGATTTGTAGTTTATTGTGGCACCACAATTTTCTGACAGAGAAGGCTAAACATCTCTAAATCCGAGAATTCTAGAGCTTTGATCCATGGCAATTAAAGCAATGTCAAACTGCATTAATTCTGCACTGTAGATGCAGTCTAAGACTTGGGAAGACCAGGATTCAAGTCCACACACAGCTGTAGAAATCCACAGGGTGACCTTGGGCAAGTCACACATCTCAGCCTTCTAGGAAGGCATTAGAAAACCTCAGAATAAATCTTACCAGGAAAACCCTAGAACAGGGTCGCCATTAGTCAAAGTCAACTTGAAGGCTCTTAACAACATGAATTTTTCAAGGTAGGGAGTAGGGAAAGCATGGCCCCACCACCTGGACTCTGTTCACATTCACAGGATCACATTCAGCAAGGTCAGACTTGTGATACCTAGTTTAATAATAGTTCATGTGGAAGAAATTAAGTGGGCAGTGAAAGGTTGTGCTGCAAAATGGTTTAGGAAATGAGTCTGTTTATTTAAGTATAGTCATCACATCATTCTAAATAGTCTCTGTGGAACTTCCATTCCACATGTCCAACCCATTTGAAAAACAGCAGCATTCATCAATGCACATGGCACTAATTTGAGGGTTTAGAATTTATTCAAACCTTCGAAACAGGGATGGGAATTATGTGGGCTCAAGCAGCCCTCCCACAGGGCTCCTGCCCAGTTCCCAATCCAACTCTCAGCCAATCTTGAGATCCTCCTAAGCCCACCTTGAGTTTTAAAAATTGGCTGAAAGGGCATATATTTTGGTCAAAAACTGCCCAGCTTTTGCCTCTCAATAATGTTTTACCTCTATACTCCAAAACAGCTGAAAATCATCCACAAAATAACTAGATGTTCCAGAGATTAGAACATTCCAGTCCCTAAGAAATGTTACATGTGCCCATACAGTTGGGGTGATCAAAAATGCCCTCCCAATTGCCATGCATGCTTAGCCCTGCATTAAAATATAGGTCTAATTAATTTCACAACATTTAGCCATCTATGATCTGCAAGTTTGTTTTAACCAAAAGATATGGTTTGTAAAGTTGGGGCAGATATTCTTAGCAATTAGGAAAAAAGTATTTGTTTTTGACATAATTCTATCTGCTATAACTTTGTTCAGAAGGATTATAAAATTCAAGGGATCAGCCCAAATTCTTGGTTGGAGGAGATACCTGATTCATGGCAGAACAATTCTAGGGTGGTTGTAGCAATGGCTATGTGGTGGGGGTAACATCACAACCTGAGTCATTTGGGCTTGCACATAACAGGGCAGAAAATGGGGATAAAAAGACTTCTTAATTTCTCAATCATTTTTTTCATTTATCTTTCGTAATGCTTCCAATGGGCAGATATGCTCCTGATATACCCTTCTTTTTGTACTTGCTATCCCTGCAAAGACACACACACCACTTGCAATATCTTTTGGCCCCTGGGATTTCTTCTTCAACTAGAGGTGGGCAACTGTGGAAGGGGCTGTTTTTCATCCCTGTATTTCCCCCACCACCACCAGCAGGCCACATCAATGCACACAACAACCAGAAGTGAAACCATATCAATTTCAGTTTTATTTTTGGCTGACTTTCAGCCCTTCCCCTCTTTTTGGTCCTTTTCCAAAAGGTTTTATGTGGATGGGCCTGAGAGGTTGTAGGGGCAAACCCATTGCATTTTGCAGTTATTTCTCCATTTTGAGTAGGTTATTTTCACAAAACAATTTAATTGGGAGTTTAGGGGCTGGGAGGATTCAGGAGCCACCCTTTGCCCTCTTGTGCCCTATAAGACTGCACTTGCAAGAGGCTTATGCTTGTGAAAGTTGGTGCTATGTTTACCACTTTCTTAGGAATTACTTCCCAAAGAACTTAGTGGAGTTTGAGAGGCAGTGTGGTGTAGTGGTTTGGGTGCTGGACTATAACACTCAGAGCTCAGGGTTTGAATCCCTGCTTGGTCATGGAAACCCACTGACTGACATTGAGCAACATTCTCTTGCCTCAGAAGAAAGCAAACCCCCTCTGAACAAATTCTGCCAAGAAAACCCTGTGATAGGGGGTTTCATAAGTCAGAAATGATGTAAGGCACACAACAACATATTTATGGGTGGATGTGAACAATTTTGCTACTAGTGTTTAAATTGTCACAGTGCTATTTAATCTTATTAAACTGATCATGGTTCTACCCACCATTGGATCTGATTGAGATTCTCCCTTATTGACTTTTCCTGTGGAGCTGCAATTAAACCATCAGAAATTCATCTGTTCCTTTGCCCAGTTTCAATCAGTGCACCAACTAGGCAGATCTAGCAACAGTGGTTTATGCCTCAGTGACCTCTCGATTAGACTACTGTAATGCGCTCCACGTGAGGCTCTCCTTGAAAAGTGTTTGGAAGCTGAAGCTAGTGCAAAATGCATCAGCCAGACCAATGTCAGGTGTGCATATTAGGAAACATATAACATCAATCCTGCATTTTGTCAGTTTTTGATGTCTGTTATCCAGAATTCATTGTGAGCCTACTTAATTCTCTATTGTTCCCTTAATACATTGGTATTTTTTCTATTTGCGTATATTTTTAATTGCTTCATATTACTGAATAAACATTTTCAGTTGCCCATCATTTGACATTTTACAACAAAGCATCCTTTTTTTAAAAAAGGGAGCTGGGTTAGCAGATTCTCAATAGTCTAGCTATGAACTTTACCAAAGAAAAAACCTGTGACAGAGGTCTTTGTTTTCTTAACAGAGAGGTATGCAGTTTATTTGTATGTAATTTATTTTCCACAGGCTCACACCACAGAGGAATTTCAAATCCTCTAGCAACATCCAAAATCACATATTTTAAACGAAAATATGTAGAAGAGGAAGATTTTCATCCACCGCTCAGCAGTTGTTCACCTAAAGTAAGTTTTTTTAAAAGTTCTTAAAAGCAGGTTTGTAATATGAATTTGAAAATCATCCATCCAGGCAAATGCTCCACTCAGGCAATATTTCATTTTCCTTAAGTATTAATGCTTCGTTTCCTTTTTAAAAAAATCAAAAAATCTAATCTACTTCTGGTGTGTTGAACAAAATAGCTACCCCCTTTGCATTCTTTATTATTGCAGCTGTTAAAAGAAGAAGGTTGTTGTTTTTTACTTGCTTTTACAAGGTTTCATGAGGATTATTACTCTCTACAATTGAATTGGCTATTTCCAGCTGACATATCAGACACATTGTACATCCTTCTACAATAATCCCCACACACTATGAAGCTAGGATAGTTTGGAAGAGGTACTGAAAAAACTTCTATAGCTCCCAGAACTCACCAGCAACCAGATATTATTCTTCACTAAATATCTTCTTAAAAGTAGCAATGAGTAATTTCAGCAATATGGGCTGAATCTGCATTGCAGAAATAATGCAGTTTGACACCACTTTAACTGCCATGGTTGAATGCTGTGGAATCCTTGTAGTTTGTTGTGGCACCAGAGCTCTCTGACAGAGAAGGTTAAATAGCTCACAAAACTACAAATCCCAGAATTCCATAGCATTGAGCCATGGCAGTTAAAGTAGTGTCAAACTGCATTATTTCTGCAGTACGGCCATTCTTCACACTCGGAGAGTGTTTGAAAACCACACAGTTTTCAAAAGGCTATTCACAACATAGGACTTATTTTGTGCAGCATTTGCATGTGGTTGTTTTGGATAGAAAACAACATTTTCTGCACAGGAAATTTTCTGCATTGAAAATAATATTTGAATCCAGGAATATTAATTTCTGCACATAAAATGCTATTTTCTATTCTAAGGTTTTCTTGACAAGATTTCTGAGCTTTGTTATTGCCTTCCTATAAGGCTGAAGAGTGTTATTTTCTGTGCATTTCTGCGCTATTTTCTGCACAGGAAATGCTGTTTTCTGTGCAGGAGGTGCTGCTTTCTATGCAGACCAACTATGTACAACTTTTATTCATTATTTCTTTATTATTTTATTGCACTTATATCCTGCCTTTTATTACAAAATGGGATCCAAGGAGGCTTACAATAATTTAATTTTTGCAGAACAAATCCTCAATTATAGCTTTTTTCCTGAAAAAAAAAAACCCAACATTTTCTGCTCAGTAATTAATATTTCTGCATTGAAAGATTATTTGCAATGCAGAAAATGCTGTTTCCTGAACAGAAAATGCTGCTTCCAATGCAAAACATCAATGTGCAAATCTTGTGCAGAATAAGCCCTGAACTGTGAAGATTCTCATCAGTCCAGGATTCTTCTTATTAGAGTTTCTCAACACTTGAAAAAAATGTTTTTAGAACATTTTATGAATATTTTCAAATATTCTTTCCATCCTTACAGCCAATACTTTCAGTCTAAATCCATGTTGGCTGGAGGATTCTGTGAGCTGTCAACAAGTAACTTTTCTATTGTCACTTGAGAGCGTGCTTCTTTCCTGTTCCTTGCCAGTCCTTTTACCAAGGGAAGAAATTGTCATGTTCCACACTCACAGTATTAACTCCTCATTCAACAGCAAATAAAATCAGAAATCCAAAGATATTGTCTGCTTGAAAGAGGGAATCTAAATTGCTACATATATATATTTGTTGCTGTTGTTGTTAACTGCTTTCGCGTTGATCGCGACTTATGGCGATCCTATGGATGAGATATCTCCAACACCTTCTGTCCTCCACTGCTTTGCTTAATTCCTGCAACCTCTTAATACCTGTGATCTTTTGCACATGTTTGGGTGAAAGAGTTCATCCATCTAGCATGTGGCCTTCCTCTCTTCCTACTTTCCTCCATCTTTGCTAACATTATTGTCTTTTCCAGCGATTCATGCCTTCTCATGATATGTCCAAAATACGACAATCTTAGGGGGGCTGGGAAGCGGAGGATTGGGGCTATGGCAACCCCATGCCGTGGCCCCGATCCTCCCTTTTGCCACCCCGAAAGGAGCCGAAGTCAGTCTCCTTTACTCAGCCTAAAAAGTGAGGGCAAACCTAGGCAAAATATACTGAACTGGGATTAAATTTTTGAAAATAAATCTGAGTCTTCTGGATAAGATGAGAGGTTGGAAAGTTACCTTTTGGACTGGCCATGCTGGCTAGGGGATTCTGGGAGTTATATTTAAACAAATAAATATATAAATCTCTAAGCTCTATTCAGACATTACTCATGGTGAGAAATGGGCAGGGAGGAAGCATTTTCTTATTTGCGGAAGCCCCCTCCCCCAAATGAGCTAGATATGCTACTCTGTACCTGAGCCAAGTCATCAACTGCTTCGATGATTTTAACTACTGCATTTTCCTTCTGCCCAAATCTTCTTCACCCTTCTGTTTTAATATGGAGACATTTTTTGATAAATGCCTGATGCTGTTGTAAGAATCACTGAGGGCCTGTTTAGATATTGGCATTGGTGTGCATAGCCTGCCTTTATCTCTTTTGATGCTCCATGCAAAAGTGATAACATTTAGGAGTTCTTTTCTATGTCTTTCACCCAAACATGTGCAAAATATGCATAGAAGTTGTGCCTATATGGTGGCACTATGCACACTCAGTCTTAGTACAATGATGCATGTGTTAACACCTTTATGTTGGTTTCTAGATTGTGTGGCTGAATTCCTTTTTTTCCCCTATGTAGCCTGACGGGGCACCTTTTAAGGCAATTCTAGACTACTTTTTCTAATTTTGGGGCCCAGTTCCTCCTCCTTCATGACTGTCTGAAGTTCTTTAAGTCCAGTCTCAGAAAACATATAGCTGATCATTCTGCTATGTGAATGTTGATGTTGATGTTCTGCCAAAATCCTGGTGCTGCAATCCTAAACAGTCTTACTAGGGAGAAAGCCTAATTGAAAACACAGGGGGATCTCCTTCTGAGTACACTGTGTGTGTCTCTTTGATCCTGTCAAATGTATTGTTGCCATATGTGTTTTATTTTTTTCGATTTTTTTAGCCACTGTAAGCAGGCAGGCAATGATGTTAAAATGATTGTAAAATAAATAGATACTACTGAGCGTCACCACATGTAAAGGTTTTTCCTTGGCTTCAAGATGGGTATCAAAGTCTCTGTTCTGGCTGTGAGATGACATGTGCTTGAGAAATTGGGGAAAGCTCAGAATAAATAATAAATAATATGACCTTGATCTTGAGTACCATGAGCAAAAGAAACTTGCAGAAGGGGTTTGATTGTCTCCTCCTTTGCAGTCCCCTTCATTCCCAGAAATGTCCCTGTGTAGGGATGATGGATATTATTGATCACTATGGGATGAGGTGGGCGGTGAAGCCATAAAAAGGGGGATGCACTCACTATTGTGTGGAGTGGAGCCATAAGTTCTCTCTCTGTAGAGCTGAACTGGAAGGTGGCTGATCAGCACTTTCTGCTCATTCCATGCTGTCCTCCAAAGAGAGAGGTCTCTTTCTGTGAGCTTATTTCCTCTCTAGAACTCAGGATCTGAGCCTAAATAACAGCAATGACAAGAAGAATCAGAGAGTTTACATTTCATTCTTTAGGAGGCTGGATAATGCAGAAACCTTCAGTGATGTAATAAATAAATAAATTAAAACCCTAGTCTGGAAACTGTTGGTTAATACAAATTAGGATAGTGCCACTGAATCAATCGTTGAAGGATGAATCAAACCATATGCAAATTGTATTGATTCAAAGAGTCTACTTTAGTTGGGGCTAACAATAGGATTCCGCTGATTCTTCTCTTCTCTCTCGTAGCACCATTAGGACACTAGATAATAGCTAAACAGTTTTTACAACTGTGAGTTTCATTTCAGTCTCTAAAAATACCAGTAATATATGTATGTATTCATGTTTTGCAAGATTGCCATATTGCACGGACATCTGGAAAACCAAGCTTTAAGCCCAGGGGAATGTCAGACTCTGTGGTTCATGTGTATCATGACCTTTTTGCTAAATAAGATTGCCAAATGAGATGGCGATTTTTGTAAAGTAGATAGTTTTCCACTGGGAACTG